AATAGCGCTGAAACAGTCTGCGGCTTCATTGATTGTGATAGTTTTGTTCGGAAGTGTATTAAGATATAACTGCAGTAGTTTCGAAGGCATATCGAATATACTGTTTCATCAAGAAACACCTTCATCTTACCAAAAGAACTATTGCTTAAATGTTCTGGTACTTATTATCAACTTATCTTATTTTGTGTAAAGAAACCCAAAGGGCAATTGTGGAAAACAGGGATACTATCCAGTACGTTTCCGTCGATGTTTCCGCCTCTGAGCGCCCATCAGCTACGGCGAACAGTAAGCCGCACTGCTTGACATTTCGGATAAGATCACATGTAGTATTCGTGACCAAAAGTTCAGTTGAGCTGTACAGCAGCAATAATGGTGATGAAACTTGCAGAAGCGCTTAATAAGAAAAACAGTTGTTTTATTAGGCCAAGCTGTAATAGGGAACTTGTACAAGCTGGAATAAGACATCCAACTGCCAACTCTATCCATCGATTGATTTTCCTTTCGAGTGACTGGCGCCAATAACCGATTTCATTTAGAGTGCCAGGCAGACATTCTAGTTGTGACGTACTGATGTTTTACCGCGCAAACTTTGGACATTGTAAAATGCACACGGTTAGCAAAACAAGTAATTATAGACCGGATTAAATGGCTTGTAGCCCTAATTCGCGTCACGTCCTTAGTTACAGATGCTATCTTCCGGTGTTGTTTTGAAAATATGCTGACAGTGAAAAGTATCTTGACGAAAATAAACGGAGAATCCCGGTATTGATGCCATATGCTTTTATAGCTTACGAATTCAAGCAAAGCATTAGCGCAACAGAACAATATAAGTTGTGCAAATTAGGCCAGTTGCGATCCACCTGGAAGCACTTCGGGCTGCATTTATTGTAGTGACTTGGTTCAGAAGTGTATGAAGAGTTACTATGCCTGGATTTAAACAGCCCACGGTATCTATTATTTGATCAATTAACATCTTCTGTAAGTTCTTTAATCACGTGATGTTTTACTTCATTCACATTATCTTATTTTGTCTACAGAAGCCCCAAAGGCAACTGCGGACCACAAGGATGTCATCGAGGAAGTTTCTGTCGAAGTATCTGTCTCCGAGGACTCATCAGCTACAACGAACAGTCAGTTGTATTATTTCAATAATGGAATCCGCATAGGCCTCTCCTCACTTTTAATAATTTATTTTGCTAAACTTTGCGAATAACTACTGTTTTACTGGACAGACATTGTGAATTGAAATGCACACATGGTTAAAGAAGAACATAATTCAAGACTGGATGAAAGGGGTTGGCTCTCTACTCTGCGCCACCTTTGTCGTTACAAACTTCACCTTCCGCTGTTGTTTGGAAAATATGCTGATAAATAAAAATGCACATCTTAACTAAAAAATAACGGGAATCGCACGTTAGATACTCTGTGCATTTGCGGTTTATGCGTTCAGGCAAAGCCCTGACCCAGCGGATCAATCTATAACGTGCAAAATAGACCCAAAACTAAGTGTATGGGGTAGTAACTTCACTGACGTTTGAGAGAGCATTTTATAATTCAAAAGGTTCAATCAATGGATCCTACATAAGTTAATATGTTCTCTTACAGAGCATATGACAGTTTGACCGTCGTTTTCGACTTGGTCCATAGTGTGTTCTACACCGTGGTGGGTCAGGGACGGTGACTTACGCCCAAATCAATTTCAAATGAGGCAACAGTAGCTTATGTTACCG